ACTAAAACAATGGCAATGAAGGAAGTGATGACACAATTCATAAACAAAACGAGCTCAGCATAGAAAATTATAAGGATCAAAGAAATTGACACCATGAAAAAGCACATAACAAAAATGACAGCAACAAATTCATATTTGCCGATAATTACATATCTGACAAGGGACTTATCTCTAAGATTTATAGCAGAAGAGTGGATGACCAAATATACACATAATGGAATGCTATGCAGCACTAAAGAATAAAGTAGAGTCTGCGAAATACTGCAAAATATGGATGAACTTGGAGGTCATTATGCTAAGTGAAATAAGTCAATCATAGAAGGACAAATATTGTATTAGTTCATTGTTGTGGAGGGTCAAGGAAAGGCTTACATATGCAGGGAAACTTTCTTTGTTGGTTTTCAGGGGTGAGAGGGGAGGGGAGAGAACACCGCAAAGGAAAAAAATTGCATTCAATGTACATAAATTATATTTCAATAAAATGCATTTTTTTTTAAAAAAAAAAGATTGGAGAGTATGGTTAGAGTGGGAAGAAAAATGTGGAACAGAACTCAAAAAAACAAAAATTACCAGAATTACTGGTTGGATGGAGACTGGTGGAACCTCTGAGACTATTGCCTCAGGTTACCTTTTAGGCCTGGAAACAGACTCACTTGCCTGGATTGGCTCTCAACCCAAAAGTAGAAAGACCTACATGCAGAATACCTACCCCAGGGAGAGGAACCCACCTACCCAAGGGAGATGTACCCCTTAGATCAATCAACCATGAGACATCAGAAGAGTAGCATTCACTTAGAAGGAAAGCTGGACAGACAGGAATGCATGGATAAGAAGGGCACAGGAAGGGGGTCATCACAGGCGGGAGAGGGGAGGAAAGTTTTTTTATATTTGAGGATTGTAATTGGGGCTGTGAAATCAAATAGTCACAAACTGCTGAATGCAAAACAAATCTGCTTTGTAAATCTGCACCCAAAGCACAATAAAAATATTAAAAATAAACTGGTCTTGGTTATAGTACTCTAGATACATAACAGACACAAATACAAATTCCCTCTGAAAGAAACTACATTAAAAACAAGCCTCAAAGCATTCCCTCAAAACACATAAAGAAAAAAAAATGCCATAAATGAGAGCTATCAGAAACAATAAACAATAGAATCAGAAACCAGAGATTGTAGATATTAGCATTATTGCATATAGAATATGCAAAAAGTATCGTTATGTTAAGAAAATAAGAAAAGGATCAACATTTGACCAAAGAACAAGAAATGAGATAATAACAAATGATCAGATTTTAAAAAATACATCCAAATAGAATTTCTAGATATGATAAAATAACCATGGAAACGAAAAAACAAAATGCTCATTATTAAGCCCTCGATCAACTGGAAAATAGAAAAATCAATTGTAGATCCTAACAATAGAATGTTTTAAATTGGAAGAAATGAAAGAATTAGAGCTATGCAAAATAAACAAATGACCCACACAAGCATAATTTTGAATTTAAAAGAAGTTGCTGAACTATATTATATATTTAAATAATGCTAAAAAATAAAAAAATCCTATGTCAAAAAAAATGAGAGTGATTCCTGTTCTAAACAAGGAACTAAACTAAGGTTTTGTCCCATCACAAAGAAGCAACAACCTTTCAGTTCCCTTCATAACGCTCCACTTCAAACATCCCAACAACCATCCATCAAAATACCACCTCAGAAAGTGTGAGTCCTGGGAGAAAGGAAATAGGGGGCACAGATGCAAAAGGGTACAGTAATTAAATCCTTTCTTTGAGTTCAGAACATTTTAAAATCCCAATATCACTCCAGAGAGCCTAACCATTAGCTTGACACAAGAATAAACCATGTTGGAGCTATAGAGTTAAAAATACCAAAGGATCTGGGTTCAAGTCCTCACTTTCTATTTACTGGTTCTTTAACCTTGGGTATTTCTGTGCCTCCATTTCCCCATATGTAAAATGAGGGTTGACAATACCTCTCCTTTTCTCCCACGTTGATTGAGATGATCTGATCCAAGTATCGGACTGTTTTATTATGTTAATGTTTGAAAGCTCTAAATGCATTACAGAAGTAACATGCTATTTGGGTCATGGTAACCTAGCCACAATCTCTAGGATTTGATTAAATATTTGGTTAAATAGCCATCTCCTCTTTCTCATCCCCAACCTTCATTAGTACTCTGTGGATGTGTAGTTTCTGTTACCTGCCCTGAAACTTCCAAAAGTCAACAGCAGCATAATAAGAGTAAGGACTGCTTCAGAAGCTACCCCTGATGATCCTGTATGTCTCACCTGACTTAATTCCTGGGGATGGAAAATGATGATAGCCATCATGTGTCCTTGGCTACTTATTGGTGAGGAGTGTGAGCTTACACCAGTACTCACCTTCAGGAAACAGAAGGCAGAGTGCCACTGGGTACTGTCAAAGGAATCCTTCATAGTAGTGAGAAGAAAACTATTATTTTATAGGCAAAATTAACAAGTTCCACAACTGATTATTCATACTGGGGGATGTAAGAAATATATAACTCCAGCCTGTGACCTTTCAGAGGGATACTATCCATTTCATTCCAAACTGGAAACACCATGAAGGCTTACAGTTGTATCCTTAGTCTGACATATAACAGGTACTCAATAAATATTATTAAAAGAAGATATGAATGAACTCTCCTTGGAGAGAACAATCTTGGGAGAAAGAAGGGCTGCTTATGCACAGGGAGACAGCTCAGGGGGCAGGAGTCCATGGAGGATGGACACAGGGAAGAGGTAACTATGGGGAGGAAGTGGGAGGGGAGCTGTTGCATTGTGCTAAACTGTGGTCAATGACATGAGACAAAGTATATGTAAACTGCTATATGGAAAGTGCCTCATCTTTCTCCCGTGGAGTGGCTGGTGGGTTCAAACTGCTGCTTTCGGTTAGTAGTTGAGCACTTAACCACTGTGCTACCAGGGCTCCTTATATACAGTATAGAATGCAATAATCTTCGATTTCTAGTAATTTCCTTCTGGCAGTAATTCCTAATGTACTATAACTTTATTCTTACTTATAACTTCCAGATATAAGTCCCTTATTTCTATATTACTTCATATAATCACTAGATACAACCAACTACACAGATCCTCCTGTGAAGACAAGTCAAATGCAATCTTGATTTAGTTCATGGCATATTAAAAATCCTGAAAGCCAAACTTCTCAAACAAAACATAAACATAACAAATCAGCTATCATAACAGGGACACACTATCTGATTTACCAGGTCCTTTTGTTTTCATAATGCATGAGTTCAAACATGCCCAAAATTATGCAGAGAAATGGGAGTTATACCAAAAACCAGGGATGCCAAAGAGCATAAAATCAATTAAGGCTGTATGTGATCACTTTTGCTATAATTTCAAATAAATGCAATACTAAATGTGCTTAACTCTACTGAGATCGGTGATTTAAAGAAAGACTAGAGCAACTTTTGTTTTTTAGCTGATTGGAAAGGAATGTTTTTTGGAAGCAAGATTCAAATGTCATTTAAAAAAATGCCATCGAGTTAACTCTGACTCACAGAAACCCTATAGGACAGAGTAGAACTGTCCCCATAGGGTTTCCAGGGCTATAAATCTTTATGAAAGCCTCATCTTTCTCCTGTGGAGCAGCTGGTGGGTTCAAACCACTGGTCTTTTGGTTAGCAGCCGAATGCTTTAACCACTACACCATCAAAGCTCCTTAGAGGTCCTAAAAGAATCCAAACCAAAACCAAACCCACTGCTGTCGAGTTGATTCAACTCATAGTAACCCCTCCTTGGGTTTCTGAGGCAGCATCTCTACGGAAGTAGATTGCCCAATCTTCCTTCTGAGGAGCAGCTGGTGAGTTTGAAGTACCTGCCTTCTGGTTAGAGTCAAATGCCTTAAGCACTATGCCACCATGTTGTTGTTGTTGTTGTTTGCTGTCGAGTCGGCCCCGACTCATAGCGACCCCTCCTTGGGTTTCCAAGGCAGTATCACTACGGAAGTAGGATTG